ACGTCACGAATTTTCGAAACGCTTCAACGCCGTCTGTCTAAAACTCCGTAATGCACCTAAAATAGTTGGCCGATAAAATGTCCATCAAATATTTAAGCGTGCTTTTTTGAACGGGATTAATCTCGCGTGCCTTGTTTCAGTATTCTAATGAGCATCGTTAACTCCTGACCTTAAATATGCAAAATGTAGGAACGCAGGATAAAATGGTAGATATACGTATTATACTTCTTGATATATATATGTATTACACTTCGTGATATAAAAATGTGTGTGCACAGCTATCCTGCGTGTACGTGTGTGTGTGTGTGTGTGTGTGTATTATAAGAGAAAGCGCAAAAGAGCGGAGAAAGAAAACCCAATGCGAGAGAATCAGATGAGCGAATATAAATCAAAGAAACATCTACAGAGACGTGAAAAAGAAGGAGCAAATGAGTGTACAAAAGAACAAAATGAAATTTTAAAAACCCAAAGTTGAAACGAACAGAAGCGTATAGACATCTAAGAGAATAAACGGTCAAAACTGCGCGCGTCTTTTGTTTTCTTTTTTTTTCCTTGCGTTCAAAATGTTGCAACGAGACATTTAATCGATTTTAAATCACACGACCAAGTACCAACCAGGTTGGTTTAATCCCCCGCCATCGATCGCGAAATTCGAGATTAATTCGCAGCGATAACACGATAGAAACGAGGTGTTAAGGAATGCCTTTCCCTGTTCACCTTCTAATAAGAGCCTAAAAGCATTTCGCTCCACGCATACCGGCGTCTGAACCTTAAGCCAGCTCGAAACTTAATCACGCGACGGCGCAGACGCGGCTAACGATTCCCGAGCGCTTTGTAACACGACACGGGGGCCTATATCGTGCCAAAGTATTTATCTTAAAAGCGCCCCGCACGCTTGACCGCCGCTAATATCCCACTAATCCACTTTGCACAATCTTCCCTCGTATACATAATTCCAGGCACTCCGCCCCATAGATCATAAACACTTCCGTGCGGCTTGCTCGTTCTCCCGCTGCTCTGGCCCACCATTTGCGGTCTCGTCCGGGGAGGCCGTGTAAAATGTGCCATTATAATCGACCTTCGCGTAGCACCCGCAGCGGGAGAAGGGGTAAGTTCTTTTCAAGCGCGTTTATTTGCATGCGCAAAAACCGTCACGAAGAAATTTAAAGAAAGAAAGAGAGAGAGAGAGAAGACCTTGTAATAAAATACTTAAAAAGTAATGTAGTGCATTGTTATGTAATATATTATACGTATATGCTATGTGTGTATAAAAAATAGAATAATATTTAATATATATATTCAATGTATTACATACATATTCAACAAAATGGAAAAATGTTCAATAATTCCCCGAAAAATACAAACAAAATTTGAGATCAAGATTAAAATGCATACTTGCAAATTAGAGTAAACAGTAATAATTACTTACTTGTTACTGTATACTCTCTCTTTCCACGTACTCCGACTAGCGAAGACAGCTTCATAAAGGAGCGAAACACTTGTTCATACTATTCATCATCCCCCTGAAGGAGAATGTGTTCTTGTGTATCACGTAAGCGGAAGTTAAATTGTGAAGGAAGTTACTAATGAACTCACGTCTCTCTTATTCAAAATCAGGATTATATTCTTGTAAATTTGATCAAAATCTTGTACTGTACGAGCAATATTTGTAACATTATATATTGCGTCTGTGTAAGCGCGAAACGACATTACAGACTACAAATCAATAAAACGCGGATTTATTTCTGTTTCAACGATTGTGTTCAAAGTAGCTTTTCAATCTGCGGCGAGCTCTCATTACACTTCTTTTTTGTTTTCGTGACATATTCTCTGCTTTTCCACGTGGAAAAACATTCGTGTTTTCTTTTTAGACGGGCGCGGGCGCATCCCCCATCAAAGGGATGTAATCTTCCAAATGCATAAAGTTCGTTGACGCTCCGTCGTGAAATTTTATGGAAATTTATTCCTTCCACATATATCCGACGTTTTTTTTGTGGGAAAAATAGGCCACAATTTTTCAATCAGCAATTTTTGGTTAATGAAAATCGAAAGAAACAGTTCACGGTGTTTTGTTATGAAAAGTTGTTCTGTCGTATTTCCGTTTGATAGCCAACAAGTACGGCGGGGTGTTTTGCAGGGAAACAGAAATTGCTTTATTTCAAATAAGAACGTATATCGCAGCAAACCTGCACCTATTATCTAACTTGTTATATTCGCCGCTCTCTCTTCCTTATATAATGTACCGTCTGTCTCGGAATCGCGAATTCTAGAACTAACACACGAGTTTCCACACGCGGAAATATTAAAGTTCTAAGCCTGCACCGTGGCGGAGCAGTTCGCTAATTGCGAGGTGCGTACCCGAGCGCCTTGGAAATTACTGTTGCTAAAAATCATATCTCATCAAGAATGTGCTTTAATTAAAGCTTCTTAAAATACACTTTTTATAAAAAAAAACAAAAAATAATAACGTTGTAACATATATTTCTCATTTAATTTTTATCTTTAATCTCTCTCTTTTTAAGTGTAATCTTATTATATGTCCAACAATCATTAACTGTATCTTGTTGCGGTTGTATAAAAGTCCATATGTATATGTGTGTGTATATTCACTGTTTTCTTGTAACGCTATCTCATTGTCCACAAAGATTTGTGACCAGTCGAACAATACGCTGATATTCTATCAGCATATTGTTTGTGACGACCATGGATCTTTTGTAGAGAGATCTTTTACAGGGATAGACGACCGATCAGAAACAAACAGAGATAGATGACCGCGACAGGACCGATGCGGCGAGGCCCGACAATAGGCCCGGAACGACGAGCGCTCTATACTCTCGAAGTGACTGTGTAAAATCGACAGGTAATAAAGCACGCTCGAGAAGCATGTCGAAAAGTCGGCTAGTCGTTTCTATTTCTCTGTCTCTCTGTGTCTCTCTGTTTCTCTGTTTCTCTCTTTCTCTCTCTCTCTCTCTCTCTTTCTTTCTCTCTTGACAGGTGAGAAAAGGCGATCTTGGCAAAGGAAAACAGATCAGAGCAAGAGATCTCCGCATTGTACCTTGAAGATTACATTCCGCTTTCTTCCCCTCTCAGCGGTTTACCGGCGTATTTCGAAATAGGGTAAAGAATTTTGTACAAGATAAAAGAGAAGACGCGGAAAAATATTCAAGAATCGAGAAACTTCTTTAAAAGAGCGAGAGAAAGAGAGTTTCTCTATAGTACATTTTCACAAGACATAGAAACGAAGCAGAAACGAAGTATAATCGTGAAACACATTTTTCTTTATATATGATATTTATCAAATTTTTTTCTCATTTACGTGTTCTTGTTTTTTGTAGCGTTATTTCAAAAAGATATTCGTTAGGAAACGTGAAACCGTTTTTCGGAAAATAATTACATATTCATTAGAACGCGAAAATCCGCGTTATACGAGAAAAAGCGACTTTCTACACTCCGATAATTAGTAACGATTCGTGCGACTTTCGAACAAACTAACGTGCGCATCTATCGGGAGATATAGAAAAGCTCGAATAAAAGCTGAGCGTATTCGAAGCGAGTTCGACAAGTTCATGCGAATGAATCCGTAAACCAACAATAGGTTGTGCGTCGCGTATCCCGATAAATCCTACGCTCTGAAACTCACGAACGCCAAAAATACGACCTAGCATATAGCCGTTGCTTTCCTTACTTTAGTTCTGCGCTCTCTTGAGTTCTTTCGAGATGCTGCTGAAGAAGCGCGGAAGCTCCTCGTTTGTATTGTACGCAACGCGCAGTTCGCTCGTAAGTTTCGACAAAGTTTTCGCTATATCAAACAAGGATGTGTCCCAAAATTTGCAGAGCACAGAGCGAGAAAAGCGTCTTTCACTTCGCGGCGAATTATTCGTAGTGATAACGACGTTTTCTGCGAATTTTGCTAACAAAATTCGAAAGAGAAAGAGAAAGAGGGAAAAAAAGAAAGAGAGAAAGAGAGAAAGAAAGAAAATTCTCCTTTGTATTGAAAATAATTAAATATTATTTTTCTGTTATAGATAATATATATCACGTTGTATTTAATATCATAAAGAATTAATAGTGTTATAACATTGAAAGATTGTTTTAATTACTTGAAAATCGGATTATTTTTCTTAATCGTTACGTGAGAGTTTCATCAGCAATTTAACACAAATATTAAAAAATTAATCTAAATTACTTCACATAATTGCACCAAATTTTTTTTTCTGATTATCGAGCAAACCAATTTGAGAGGCAACGATCTTCATCTTAATTACACGCGGTTACGATTCTGAAGATTCATTCACGTTAATCTCGAAATGTAATCTCGTCAGTAGCCACAGAGAGCCACATTGGGATGATTAGCTTAAAGACATGCGAACGGAGCAAAATCTATGGATCTCGCAAAATTAGCCGCAGCCGATGCAGCTCTATATCGCAGCGCGCTCCGAAAAGCCTGGAAACCGACATCGGTCGGCTCGCGTGCACCGAGTGACCTCGTTCTCCTTCAAATCTCCGAATAAAGAGAGAGGGAGTGTCACGTGGCCATGTCGTTAATTTCGCCGTTCTTGGACCGTACAGAAAGGACGAAGGTAGTGCGCGCAGCGAAAGGACACCGAAGCTCCCTAATCCCTGGCGACTGCATTCAAAAGTTTGGCCACTCAAAGGGAAATGAGAAAGACGCGGCAACCATTGGCAGATTAAAGCGATGCTGCTGGCCTTTGATCTTTCTCACAAAACAAGAGTCGGGACGGAGCATAAAACGCGCCTGAGGTTCTAGGAGGTCCGACCTCTTTCCCATCGACTTCCAAGTGACGACGATCAAGAAAAAGGACGGAAAAGACGAGAGTGAAAAAAAAAGAGAAAGAGAGAGAGAAGCCTATAGAAGAGTGGTCCCTTCTTATTATGGGGGGCCGAGACATAATCAAGCTCTATACGACAGGTAAAACAAGCGCGACACAATAAANAAAAAAAAAAAAAAAAAAAAAAAAGAAAGAGACTTTAGTACTCACAAAGACGAAGTAGGATTTTCTCATGGTCCTCATCGATCTGATCACTTGTCGACTTGATGCACCTCTCTTCTCGCTCGCTGATCAATGTGCGTAATTTTCTGCTGCGAAATTCTTGTCAGAAATCGTCGAGTTTCCACCACGTGCACCTTTCACCCCCTGGCAAAAGGTGCATCGAGAAACCGGTCGAGCGTCGACCGTGAGACAAGTTACGAATATTTTTCTTTTTTTTTTTTTTTTTGGCTCACGTTATCCTCGAACACTTCACCCTCCTTTCCGTCGCGGTATACACATAACAGGTATCGCGGAAATCACGTGCGCCACGAGTCGATGCGCGAATCAACGACTGACACGGGGAAGAGGGGGGGAGAAAATCGAGACTCGAGAGTCGACTGTTGTGATACAAAACGATAAAAACGTTTTGTATCGAAGAAACAAACGCGATCGATGAGAGATCCTGCGATCGTGTCTGCGGCGATTGTGCTTGATCACAGACCGTTTAGAATCGCACGTGCGTTGTACCCGCGTGACCGGGAGATGTCGTCGGGCCGAAGTGCACGACGCGAGTGTCGGCCTTAACGTCTCGAAAGCGCTTGACGTTGGCGCCCGTGCGGTGTCGAGCAAGGTGGGGGATGCGAAGGGGAAATGATCGTCCACCCCTTCCCGCCGCCACCGTTCTCCCCTTTTGTGCGCGGCCACCTACGCCACCCCCGTGGAGAGAACGCTACACTCAACTCCCACGGTACCACCACCGCGCTTGCCTCTGTGCACCCATCGACCCCGTGGCCACCCACTTCACGTCGGGGGCGAGAGTGGAATAAAGTGCTGCCGGAGGGAGCAGGTAGAGAGAGGGATGGTAGCCGCGCGACGACGCAGGAATGGAACGACGCGGGATAAGAAGAAACGAAAGAATGAGAAAGGGAGAGCTGTCGGAAAGAGGGAAAGCATAATTCGCGAAGTTGCGTTGATCAAACAAGCGTTGCTTTTGTTTTTTTTTTCTTTCTTTTTTTTTTGATTTTACGCGTCGCTCTTTAACTACCCGCGGTTTTTCCCCCAAAGAAGGGAGATGGAATAATTGTTGAAGTCGAGTGAGGTAATTGTGCGCGTACATATTTGGCGATTTTCATGTTGTCATGTCTGCGACTCCGCAGGAAGCAAAGCAGAATCATCCGTCGCTCGACGCGGAATTTAGTTTACGTCTATCACACGTCTGTCAAACGCGCGAGAAATCCGCGAATAAGTTTTCGCTTCGATTTTTCCGTCTTTATCGGATCCACTGAGTCAATCAGTCGCCGCTATATCGGAAAATCTTACGCAAACGAACCGATAAAAATCGTCACGTTCCAATACACGTGAGAAATAATGAGTACGCAGTTGTAAAGACATCGGATAAGTGCGTGATATCACACGTATATATCTCTATAGTGTTTTTTTTACGTGCACCCCCATGTGCGCGCACACTTTTATAATTAATAGCGACCTTTGATGCCGTTCGCTTTTATGGTAATGAAACTTCAAAGCGCGTTGTGATGTTTCAAACTCGCCTCATATAACAACGTTCGGATGAACATTATACAAGTATCATATTTCTGCTAATACGCAAAACAGTCAGAATGCGAAAATTGAGAATGATGGCGCGATACGGCAGGAAACTCGCGTTGAGAGCGCGCGAAATCACCCCCCGCGCGGTTAACGCGGTTGAACCGCAAGTCCACTTTATGTATGCACATTTCAAGACCGGTCGAGTGTACGAAAGGGTTAACTTGTACCAACATTTGGTTTTGACAACTAACGTAAAAATCGTTTAAATAATCATCAGCCGGTTGAGTAAAATATACAAAATTTTGAGATAAAACATTTGATGTGAGAAATTTTATCAAGTTGTTGCGTGACACAGATTATAAATGAAATTTAAAACAAAAAAACTAAATTTTTATATTTCAGTTTTAATTTGCTCTCGCAGCGAGATGCAACTAAAAAATAATATAGAGAATGCGATATCACTTTTACGCAAGAAACAAAAAATTTAAACCTATTTCCTTTCGACGCACAATATTATTTAATCTAACTTTGCAACATTTGTATCTCACACCATTTGCTTGTTGTATTTAATTTTTAATTAAACACATATAAAATCACGATATTTTTATATTTTTTGCAAATATTTGGCAGCGCGTACGCAAAAAGACAGAAACAACTACTACCAACGTCAAAAATGCTTCTGGCTGTTTTGCTCTTCACCAGTTTTATACAATGTAAAAAATATGCCAAATAAAGTAATTGTATTCTCTCTCTCTCTCTTTCGCGCTCGCTTTATACACGTGCTGTTTATATTCCAACTCCCTTAACATCCTTTTCCCATTTCGAAACATGAAGCGACTGTACGCGGAAATTTTATCCACAGACAGGTAGATAAAAATAGTCTGACCAGAGAGAAGGGAACAATTGATGTAGTGGAAAAAAATTTTAGAATTTAGGGAAAACGTAACGGATATTTCAAATCTTTTTCGCTTGCTTTTTTTTGTTTTACCGCAAAATTGCGGCGAGAATAAACGAGTGCTAATTACAAAATTGTATTAATTTATGCATAAGTTTTTTATTACAGTAATATGTTTAAAACGTTTAATCTAAATTAATTGAACTTTTTTTCAATTTTCAATCAATGAAATTTTCGCTCGTCAAGTTAAAAATAATTTTGCAATATTAAGTTTGGGTAAACATACATACACGTATGTATAACTTTATTTTAACTTTTGCTAAAAGAATTGATAGTTTAGTTAATAAAAGCAGATAGTTTAGTTAATAATACATCGATAATTGTGAAAAGTATTTTATATATAAATTCTTTGATTTAAAAAAAAATTGTATCTTGCACTTAACGACGAATTATTTTGTCGTATTTTATTACAATTAAATACAAATAAATCTCATCTAGGGTCAATCATGGAAAAAAAGCACATTTAAACAAATTCGACACACGTACGGGGTTTCCGATTTTTAGAGAGGATTTTGTCCTCAGTTTGATAGCGAATGGGTTCATGTCACGTGGTCGGGATTTATCGACGCTGAAAATTTCGTTCGCTGGAACTCTAACGACAACAATTATTCGAAAAGTTGCCAACACGTCAAAAATGGGTGATGCAAGGGATTGTTATCGCGTTGCACGCTCGATGTTTGATGAACGTTAATCGAAATGTTGAATCGAGTGTGTACCGCCTGACGTATTCGGCCAATACATTCAGAACATGCAAATGATCGGCAAAATACTTTGAACTATTCTATTAAGTCAAACAAAAAGTTTTGTTTGATTTCGGCGAGATTGAAAAAGAATTGCATATTGCGGCCATTGTAAAATAATTTAACGTCAATTTGACTAAATATCGCGTATAATTGTACGATAGAGAACATTCAGGATGTAGAGAATTTCATTTGATTAAATTGTCTCGTTCGAAAGAATTTAAATCAATTTTCAAATAATTTCTTACATTGAAATGTCGATAATATATAAAACAGTTTTGAAGAAGATTTCCCGGTCGAAAATCACCTTCAGTTAGCGAGAATATTAGATCGAGTACGAAACTGTGTAAAAGACTTCCACGGTTACTTCCCGACGAAAATTTGGCAAGTAATTTCCTCTCGGGATCGCATAATTTAACGCGTTACATCTTTTGGTGCTATTAGTTGCTTCAAAAGCACGTACGTACGTACCGTATAAGTTCGTAAAGTTGTCCGCCGCAACTTACTTTATAGACGCATAATTTAATTAGACGTGCAAAATGAGAATATCGAACGTATTAAAGCAGTTAAGGAACACGCGGGGACCATTAAATTGGGGATATTTAATTGCTCGAGTTCATCAGAACATAATATCTCTCTTCGCGCAGTTTGTGATTCTAACAGCTAAAGCGTTTTAACAAACGCATCTGGAAATCCGTAAATAAACCTCAAGTGTTTTACCGTCATAGTCGGAAATAAGCGTAAATAAACCGCATGCGAAGAAGGAACTCTGTATGGATGATTTTCGTTTCTAAAGGCGCGTACGCGGAGAAACGCATGAAAATCGAAACGTTTTAAGGCCTTTGACGTTCGTAAGGCACTCAGACCGAGCCATTCCGCCGCAGGGGCGAGATAAACGCCCGGTGTGTGTACGCGAGAAACACCCCCCCGTAGTAGAGAAACCCCGCCAATTCCCGTATAAAACCGTCTCGCTGCTTCCGGTATATTTATTTCGATGAAAGGCCTCGTAAGTAACGGGCTCGTGCATTACGGTGACGAGCGCGATTTACGGAAACAAAAAGACGGAAAAGCGTCAGAACGAAGGCGGTAAAACGTATCCATCCGTGCGCAAGAGCAGAATGGAAAAAGCGAGACAACCCGCGTTAAATCCCGACGACAGACGCTTCAAAAAGAAAGTCGGCCGCTTGGCAAAAGTCCGCGCTTTATTTACGTTGATAACGATAAGTCGCCCGCTATTGCTAAATAACACTTCGACCGCGAAAAGGGACATCTGTTTTCGTGACTACAATTGGCACGAATAAAAACGAAAATAAACAATACATATCGCAAAACCTTGATGTCACATGTAACGTCGAATGCAACGTCAAACTACAATATTTGAACACAATCGTCTCGAACACAATCGTCTCGAAAATAAAATAACGTAATATTGTACAAAATAGCTTTGCTTTCGCAAAATAATGTAAATTTTCAACGAGATATCGAAGTAACAATCGATAATAACACACAGCGGTCGTAAAATTTACAAGATTGCACGTTGCGAAGTTCTCACAAGAACACTGATGAAACTATTTATATATACGCTGAAGAGCATTACATATTGCTGCCGGTGTTCTCAAAGATGCTTCTCCGCCCGGAGTGAATTCCATTTCCCACTCGCGCAACACAAAGCGCGAAAATTGAATACATGGGAGTTAAATACATGGAAGGATCTTATAGTTGCATACAACCAACGAGCTCTCTATTTGACAGCACGGTCCTTCACAAAGTAATTGTGTGCGAAGGCCTATTCGTCGTGTCGCTTTATTCCACCCTCTTGACACCAGATATATATGTGTGTGTGTGTATGTGTGTGTTGCTTTCTTATTTAGGCACGTATTCGGCCAAGTGGATCTGCAAGAAAACATGGGTCGCTCAGGGTTTACGCTGACGTACACCGGTGCGCAAATAAAAGTTCACGGTTCAAAGAAAACGTTTCGACTTCGATTGATAATCGTGAAGTGGTTTTAAAGCGAGAACTTTCGCTCGCAAATTGTATTTAAAATTAGACGCGAACCCAGCGATATACATAATTTATGCATCACTCCCCGTCTGCCAACCTGAATATAATATTTATTAAGCTTTGTGTTTCAATGTGTATTTATATAAATTAACTGACGCACAACAGTAAGTAAAAAGACTTCAACAAATTAGACGCTCTGCTGTCTGCGCGCTCACTTTCGAAAGCGCAATTTATTCTCACAAGATCGAGACGAAAAATTGATTGTTCCTGCAAAACAAAATTGATGCTGTCAATGGAGACGGAATGTACGA